GTGGTCTGCAAAAGAGGCATTGAGTGGCAAACATGTTCAGTCCATAGTCTACTTTCGACATGCATCTCCCCTCCTGGGAGGATCCTCCAAACATCCTTTATTTGGTGCTCCCTTCTCTATCTGAATAGCCCTTTCCTCTAGGATACCCGGCTGGCCTCTAAGTTATGGAGTAATCCTCCTGGTGCTGATCTCAGCTATTCTTGGGTATTAATCTCATACTTTGTTACTTTATATCCCCCAGATGAATGCAATCTTTCTATGTCTATCCCTCTCTTTCTGACTCATTTCGCTTAGCATGATACTTTCCATATTGTACCACTTGTATGTAAATTTCATGACTTCATCTTTTCTAAGAGCTACATAGTACTCCATTGTGTAGATGTACCAAAGTTTCTTTAACCAGTCATCTGTTCTTGGGCATTCAGGTTTCTTCCAGTTTCTGGCTATTGTAAAGAGGGCTGCAATGAACAAACAAGTGCAGATGTCACTTCGACTAATTTTAACAGAACAATGGGACAAAATCCCATAACAATAATCTCTCTCAATGTCAATGGGCTAAACGCACCAATTAAAAGACATAGAGTGGCAGGATGGATTAGAAAATTGAACCCAACATTCTGCTGCCTGCAAGAAACGCATCTCAATAGTCAAAGCAAACACAGACTCAGAGTCAAAGGCTGGAAAACAATCCTACAAGGCAAACAGCTCCCATAAAAAAGCTGGGGTAGCCATCCTTATATCAGACCACATTGATTTCAGAGTGAGGAAGGTCATAAGAGACAGTGAAGGCCATTACTTATTGATCAGAGGATCTGTACAACAGGAAGAACTTACAATAATAAATGTATATGCACCTAATGAGAGACCAGCAAAGTACTTAAAACAACTACTCATAGATTTGGAAAAAGACATCAATAGCAACACAATACTAGTGGGAGACTTCAACACTGCTTTGTCACCTCTTGATAGATCAACCAGACTCAAGCTTAGCAAGGACATACTTCATTTGAGGGAAACAATGGCAATGATTTTTTAAAAAAAAATTTTATTAGTGAAACACCATGAGGTACAGTTGTAGACTTACAAATTTTTGTGCTTGGGTTTCAGTTATACAATGATTTAGTACCCATCCCTCCACCGTTGCCCATTCCCCACCTCCAATACTCCCAACATCCTTCCCACATCCTGTGGCCCAGTTAGGAAATGCTTGAAAATCCTGGGCCAGAGGAACCAAAGAGCTTAGTGGGTAGAGCACAGGCTTTGCATGCTTGATCCCGAGCATCACGTAGTCCCCCAGGCACCTCCAGAAGTGACCTCTAAGCACAAGGGTGAGGTTAGTCCTCAAGAACCGCCAGATGTGATCCCCCTAAACAAACAACCCTGACAGCCAGGCTTCACCCCTCGCCCCCCCCCCAAGCTCCTCTCAGTGATTTCTAATAAAATGAGCCCATGTTGGCCTCTGGCTTCTCTAGCAACGCCCCCCACGACACTCCCAACCGAGTAATTTGCCAATGGAGAACCTGAGGCCCAGAGACAGGACAGGGACTCTTCTGGGTCACACAGTGAGGGACAACTGCCCAGCGGGTCTCATGGGGTCAGTCAGGGACAGGCCCCCTGCCACCACCCCCTGGCGCCCACTGGTCTGCCCCCTGACCCCAGTCCCAGGTGGCATACAGTCAGGGGGCCACTGTCTTCAGGGCCAAAAAGCCACGGCTGCCACCTCCTCCTCCTCCCCCTCCTCTTCCTCCAATTCCTCCTCCTCCTCCTCTTCCTCTTACCTCTCCTCCTCCCCCTCGCCCTCCCCGTCCCCCTTCTCCTCCTCCCAGGAGCAAGTTGGTGTTCAAAATCCCAGGGCTCCTGGCCTGCCAAGTCTGTTCCTGTGACATTTAGGGGCCGGGTGAACCAGATGTGTGACAGCCGCCTGCACAGTATGAAGCGGGAGACCTTTGTGGGAGAAGGAAATGACTTTTCTAGCCCTGTTTGCAACTCAGAGTCAAAGGAACCCAACCCAGCCACCCCAGTGGGCTTCCTGGGTGCTTAGAGGGGCTGCCACACCTGTGTTTCCACCCAGAAATTCATTTACTGGCAGCCGTTGGGGAGCGGGGCTGGGGAGGGAGGCTACCCTTGGACACCCTGCTCTCACTTTCTAACTTGGGGTAGCTCTGTAGACCCGCAGTGCGCAGTGCGGGGAGGAGAGCTATGGCCAGGCAGTGGGGGTCCAGTCTGGGGCTGTGCATGCCCAGGGTCCCTGGAGGCAGCCCCTGGCCAGGAAGAGCAGGGCCTTGGGGGAAGCCCTGACTTCCAGCCTAGCCTCTCTGGCTGGGTCAGTTAAACCCTGAACAGAGCCCCGGGGTGCCAACCCTCAGTTTCCTGGTCTGCACCGAAACCAACCAGGTCTCACAGCCTGCAGCCAGCAAGCTAGAGAACTCAGCAAAGTGACCGCATTCAGGGACCTGAGAAAACGGAGCAGATCCCGGCACTGTCAGGGTCAGTCCTGAGCACAGAGCCAGGAGCAGCCCCTGAGTACTACCCCGACCCCCATGAGAAACAGCACACTCTACCCTGGGCACAGGCCCAGCCCCCAGGAAGGCCTCGTGAGACCCCTTCCCCCTCCCCAGCCTGGACACAGCCTGCACAGACCCAGGGCCTCCGTCTCCACCACAGTCCCTGCCTCTGACTGTCCAGCTTTCCCTGACCTTTCCCCAGATCCAGCATCCCCCCCACACGGCCCATCCACCACCTTGTGTGCCCTGAAGCTGGTGGCTTTGCTGACCAGCGCCGCCGACATGCCCTGGCCCTGGCTTCCGTGTGCCTGCTCTCTGTGGCACCTGCAACCCTCGCCTTTCCCGCTCAGCCTCCATCTCTCCTGGGTTTCCACCCTTGGCCTCTCCCCTCCTCTCTTGGCACCTTTCCCTGGGGGGTGAGGGTCTCCTCCCGCCGACCCCAGCATGCCTGCCAATGACCCCAACTCTTCTTCGGCCCAGACCTCTCCCCTGTCCTGTAGCCCCCGGTACATACATCTCCACCCTGACCATCTACAGGCTCCACAGGGGTTCAGCACCCCGATGCACAACCGTGACCTTCCCCTTCCCTTCTCCCCGACTCAGAGACAGGCACCTGAACCCCCCTCAACATGCCCTGGCACCTTGCCCCTCCCAACTTTTTGCCTAGGCAGTGAGAGAAGAACCACAGACACACACACACACACACACACACACACACACACACACACACACACACCGAATCCCAGAGGTCCCCTTCCCTGCGGTCTTCATTGATGGGAAAATGATGTCCAGAATGAAGGGGGCAGGGTGTGAGGGGCAGTGTCCCCTCTCATCACTGCTGCCCCTGCCTGAGGTGCATTGGCCAGTCCTGAGGTCTGAGCTCTGGAAGACAAACTGGATATTGTGTGTGTGGAGAGCCAGATTGGGGACAGGAGAGTAGAAATGCTCCATAGGGACAGGTGGGACTCGGGGACTGTCCCTAGGACTGTCCTGGGGCAGAGGGAGCAGAGGGGGTGTGATCTGGAAGGCTGCAGGGACTGTTCAGCTCGATGACCAGGAAGGAGTTGAAAAGGGGACCAGGATATCTACACAGTGGAATACTATGCAGCTGTTAGGAGAAATGAAGTCATGGAATTTGCTTATAAGTGAATAGACATGGAGAGTATCATGCTGAGTGAAATGAGTCAGAAAGAGAGGGACAGACACAGAAGGTCTGCACTCATTTGTGGAATTTAAAATAGCATAATATGAGACTAATACCAAAGGACAGTAGACACAAGGGCCAGGAAGATTGCTCCATGGTTGGAAGCCTATCTCATGAGCTGGGGGAGAAGGGATCACTAAGTCAATGATGGTTGGAGGGATCGGTCAGATGGGAGATGTGTGCTGAAAGTAGATAAAGGACCAAACACGATAACCTCTCAGTATCTGTGTTGCAAACCATCATTGCCCAAAAGTAAGAGAGAGTATAGGGAAATTCTCTGCCATGGAAAGGGGGTGGGAGGAATATACTGGGGACATTGGTGGTGGAGAATGTGCACCGGTGGAAGGATGGGTTTTTCATCACTGTATGATTGAAACTCAAACATGAAAGCATGTAACTGTATCTCACAGTGATTCAATTAAAAAAAAAAAGAAAGAAAAGAAAAGGGGACCAGAAAGGAGTTGAAAAGGGGACCAGGATCCTTCCTGGCTGACACCCTGGAATTGAAAGGGGGTAGCTCTACACGGGACAAGTAGTTTGCTCCGTAGCGGGAAGCCTGCCTCATGAGCAAAGGGGAGAAGGCAGCTGGAATAGAGAAGGGATCGCTAAGAAAAAGATGGCTGGAGGAATCGGTCGGGATGGGAGATGTGTGCAGGAAGTAGATAAAAGGCCAAACAGGATGACCTCTCAGTGTCTGTATCGCAAACCATAATGCCCAAAAGGAGAGAGAGATTATGGGGAATCATGTCTGCCATGGAGGCGGAGGAGGGTGGGAAAGTGAGCGGGGTATACCAGGGATATTGGTGGTGGGGAATGTGCACTGGTGGAGGGATGGGTGTTTGATCATTGTGTGATTGTAACCCAGACATGAAAACTTGTAACTATGTCACGGTGATTCAATAAAATTTAATAACAACAACAAAAAAATCTCACCTTCGATTGCTAAATGCTTAAAAGGGGCATCAGGTGCTATTATTTCCTCACTTAGTTTTCATGACTCCAGAAATCATGTTCTCCTAGTACCGTAGCACTAGACAAGAGGAGGTTGTAAATAAAGTGAAAGATAAATAAATCAAAAAAAAAGGAAAGAAAGGGGGGGCAGGGCACTCCTGTTAGGACAGGAGCCAACACGGACTCAAGGAGCACAGCAGAGGCTGAGATGGCGGTGCCTGGTGTCTCCTAGGCATGGTTGGAGGCTTTGCTGGAGCGGGGCAAGGCCTGGGTGAGGGGCATGAGCGGGCCCAGATGCCGCCTATGGAGTCTGATCACACGCTGTCTCTTGCTCCCTACAGACAAGCAGGAAGTGAAGGTGGGAGAGTACAACGCCGTGGCTGACACCCTGGAGATCATCAACGACACCATCAGGTTCCAAGGTAAGGCAGATGTGCACCTCAGAGGTGGGTCTGCATGGCCCCTCCCACCCCTGCATGCTTTCTGAGGCCTGTGGGTGTGCTCAGCCATCATGGGGAAGCCGTAGCATCCTCCACACTCAGCCTGTCTGCTCACCCCTCACAGCACACGGAGCCCCATCCCCTTACCTAGGAGCTGGGCTCCAGCTTCGGCGACCAGCCTCTGGTGTTTGTGTGGTATGCTGGCTGCCACCCAGGTTTCTCTCTCTGTGGCCAGGAAGAATTCCTTTCTGTGTGGCCCTGCCCTGTTTCAGCCTTTTTCCTCTGGGAAAAGAACTTGGTTGGCTTGGTAAGAAGAGGTCTCTGTCTCCTCTTCTTCCTACAGTGTCATTCCCTCTCTTCTGCTGGAGAATTCTCTCTGTCATTTTGTACAGTTCTTCGTCATTTTGTACAATTGAAAGCACTTCTGGGGCTTTGGAGGGGTTTGTTTGTTGGTTGGTTTGGGATCACACCAGCGATGATCAGGGGTTACTCCTAACTCTGCTCTCAGGAATTACTTTCAGCATTGCTTGGGGGACCAGATGGGATGCGGAGAATCGAACCTGGGTCAGTGGCATGCAAGGCAAGCGCCTTACCCACTGTGCTACCACTCTGGCCCCAGAAATGACACTTCTGTGCAGTTTTCCCCGATTGCCCCAGCTGAGCTAATGACTAAATGCTATGTTGGGGATCGAACCAGGGCTGGCGGCCCATGCGAGGCAAGCATCTTGCCCACTGTGCTACCTCTCCAGCCCCTGTCTTGCTTATCTTGGAATCACTGGTGTGCCCAGTCTAACAGGTATAAGATCATAATGATGACTGATGATCATTAAAGATGATGAAGGTCGGGGAGGGGCAGGGATGAGGCCAGGGGTGTGGCTCAGCATTGGAGCATGCCTTGAATGTGTGACGCCTGGTTCCATCCCCAGCACCACAAAGTCTTAAAGATGAGGAATGAAGGAATCCTGATGGAATGTATTGAACGAATGAATTCGTGAATTAATGGGTTGCCGTGAGCAAGGATAAAACCTCACCTGCTCTGGTTACTGACACTTGAGATAACCCCTTGGCTTCTGCCTTTAGGGTGAGGGGAAGTGGCGGAAGTGGAAGCGGTCAGTGAGGTCACATGCGAAGAGCGAATGGTCTTGGTCATCACAGGAGCCTGGATCCAAACCTCAGCCCAGAGAGGAACTTGTTTCCAGCCAGGAACTCAGGGGCACCCCCGAGCCTGCCCTTGTAATGGGGAGCCAGAAGGCACCAGAGCCAGCCCACAGGGAGACAGAAGCGGAGGGAAAGCAGGTTCTAGATGCTGGGAGTTTGCTTCCAGAAGCAAGAACTCACATTCCCTCTGCCACCATGTGTTTGCTTTCACCCTGACTTTTGGTCCTCGGAGCCGTACCTTACAAATGCCGGTTTCCATGGCATTGCTTAAATCTCTCCGTGAGCCATGTCAGCCGCTCCCCAGCTGCCTTTGAGCCTGGCAACTTCCCGAGACAGCTTCCATGGTTCTTTTTCTCCGCTGTTTCCAAACATATCTGAACTTGCTAGCTGATTTTGAGGAGCGCAGATGTTAGGGGAGGTGCTCGATCTCTGCCGTCACGTCTGCTCTTCCCTGCCAGTCTCACCGCAGAGCTGCCTGCCTGCCCGAGGCCGGGAGCCAGGGCCCTAGGCCATAGGACCTCCAGTGGGGCTCCGGGGCTCCCCAGTTTGGCCATTCTTAGGTGTCTAACTGATCTTTTAGATTCCAACAGGAGAGGGTAGCCCCAAGGGTTCACGACCCCACAGCAGAAACCTGGTCTGAACTAGCAGCAGAGAACAAAGGGTTTAATAAAAAATAGAGAGAGAGAGAGGGAGGGCAGGGGGACATGGGGTTCAGGCGAGCCTGGGACTCCCTCCTCCAAATACAGCCTGAACCTCAAGGGAAACAGGACAGCTTTGCCACCATCCATAAAGACCAGTGGCACAGCGGGTAGGGCATTTGCCTTGCACGCGGCCAACCCGGGTTCAATTCCCAGCATCCCATATGGTTCCCTGAGCACCGCCAGGAATGATTCCTGAGTGCAGAGCCAGGAGTGACCCAAAAAGCAAAAAATAAAATGAACCAAAAAAAAAAAACCATAAAAGACCAGTGGGCTCTGGGGCCCCGGAGGTAACCCTAGGTATGTCCTAGCACCCTTGAAAAATGATGAACAGAGGCAGTGCCTCCCACACCCAGAGAAATGAGGTCCCACAGCGTCTGTCCAGGCTTGGCTATGGGGTGCAGAAGGCATGCTGGGATTTTCTACCCCCCCACTGCCCCCCCTCCAAGCTAGTCAGCCTTGGAAACCAGAAAGCCAGGTGGCGTGTTTATCACACAATGACCTTGAGATAGAAATCCAGGGCTAGTTCCCCTCCATGTCGCCATGATCTCCACAGGCCAGGGTCCCACCCCCACCAGAGGCAGCCACTTTCTGTGCTGGAGATGGTGCTTTTGAGATGAAGCCAGGTTCCCGGCCCCTGATGACCACCCCCCAGGAAATCCCCCACCCCTGTCCCCACTCTCAAGACCCCAGACCAGACACTTTCCCAGCCTCTTTTACCTCGGGGGCATTAATGATGGTGGTTTTTTCAAGAGCACAATTAGACCAAATCAAATTCCAGTCTTCTAATGACTATTAAATGCATTACAAACCCCTTCTTGATTCTATTTAGAGAAAGAAATAAGTGCTGGCTAAGGCTGCCTGCCCGGCAGGCTGGCCAGTCCCATTCTCCCACCCCTACCTCCCCAGCCCAGCCCCTGTGACCCTCCCTCCTAGCCCAGCTCCACTCCTCCCGCACCAAGTTTATGTGCAGATTCTCAGTGATGTCAGGGAGAGACCTCAGCCCAAGATGTTCTCAGCAGCAGCTAGGGCCATCACATAGGGAGCGAGTTTGCCTTTGCACATGACCCACCGAGATTTGATCTCTGCCACCACATCTGGTTCCTCTAAACCCAAGCAGGAGTGATCCCTGAGCACAGAGCAGAGCCAGGAGGAAGCCCTTAGCATCACCAAGTGGGGCCCAAGAAAATAACAAAACCTGTTCTCAGCCGTGCCCTGGGCTGAGCCCATACCTCCCCCTTGACCTTCCAGGATCCGAGCCCCCCAAGGACAAGACCATCATCCTGGAGCAGCTCCGCAAGATCTCACTACCTCTCTACAGCATCCTCTCCGCCCTCACTATCCTGGGAATGATCATGGCCAGCGCCTTCCTCTTCTTCAACATCAAGAACCGGAATCAAAAGTAAGCCGCCTGCCCCACCACTGGGCTCCTGGGAGCTGTGGGCTGAAGTGGCAGAGGGGAGACGGGAGGATGCGCTAGCCCGGGGCACAGAGGAGATTTTCCTGGGGACAGGGCTCTAAAGTCTTCGGCTCAGCCCCTGGGGGGGTATTCGGAGATGCTGTAGCACATATGCACTCACGCTCGCACAGAGCCGCACGCAGGTAGGGGGGAGCTATGCGGAAAATCTGGATTAAATGAAATCAAAGGGTCCACGTCCCAAGGCCTCCGGGCTTTGGATGTGCTTGTGGGGGATCAGGAGGAGGAACAGAAGAAGGAACTTCCCAACCCGATCCGCCTCCCTTGTACCAGCAGCATCTGCCAGCAGCCCTGAGGAAGGCTCCTGAGTTCAGTGGCTACAATGTAGCAGGCCCCTAGCTCCCTACCACCACCACATCCACCCCTCGCCAATTTCTCCTTGCTTCTGTAAGCTTCCTGGGTGAGAGTACAGCAGCTCAGGGTGGGGGCCACACTGAGTTCCTCCATTTGGATCTGGATTTCCCCCCACCCCACGGCCCTCCACTCTGCAGGGGGACAGCTCGCTCTCTGGGTTATTTAGCAAAGGTGGCCACCCCATGTGTTACTTACCCAGCACCAAGCCAAGCATCCTTGATTTCCACAGGGAACCCCTGAGCCCAGCCCCTGCTCCGTCCCCCCACCCTCCATGGGAACAGCTGTGCGGGGCTGGTAGGGGCCAGTCTTGTGCCCACCAAGCCCACGCTGTGGGCTAGTGCCCTAGTGCTCCGAGGCCACAGTACAGGACCAAGGAGTACAGGATTTTGTTTTCCTCTCCTTGCTTACTGAACAGGGACCTAGAGGCTCCCTCCAGGTGTTCTGTTTCGGGGGTTGTTTGTTTTTGTACTTAGTAGTGGGGGGTGTGAGGAAATATCAGATGGTGTCAAAGCTATTTTCTTAAAAGACAAAAAAGAATTCACATGGTATTTAATTTATCACCAATAGGCAAAAGGGGTGTGTGCGCGCGCGCGTGTGTGTGTGTGTGTGTGTGTGTGTGTGTGTTGCCCGGGATTACACCTAGGGCTCACATAATGCCAGACAAGTGTTACACCATCCCCAGCCCGATTTATCACCCATAACATATATCTAGATGTATCTACTGCCTCGAAAACATGAGGTGCTCCTTCGCCTGCTCCCTGCAAACCCACAGTGATGCGCATTGGGCACAAGGCCTGGGCACACTGTCAGCTCACGAGGTTTAGTTCCCTTCCTGCCAGTTTCAGGGACATCTGCTGTCCTGCGAACTGACCCATTATCGATCGGACTAAAGTCCTTTCATTCCTTAACGAAGCTCTCCTCACCCTGGGGAAAGTTACTCTTTCCCATGGACTGTGAATTTTTGATTTTGCAGATTTAAAATTCTTCAGGGGGCAGAACGAGAGTACAGCAGGTCAGGTGTTTGCCTTGCTCGTGGCTGACCCAGGTTCTATCCCCAGCTTCCCATATGGTCCCCTGAGCACTGCCACGAGTGATGCCTAAGTGCAGAGCCAGGAGTAACCACTGAGCATCACCAGGTGTGGCCCCAAAACAAACCAAAACAATATTTTTAAATCAATCAATTTTTAAAAATCGTCAGGGGTCAGCAGTAATACAGTAGGTAGGGTGCTGGCCTTGTGTGACCGCCCAGATTCAATTCCTGGCATCCCATATCACCCCCGAGTCTGCCAGGAGTGATCCCTGAGTGCAGAGCTAGAGTTAGCCCTGAGAACTGCTAGGTGTGACACAAAAACAAAAATAAGATTAAATTTTAAAATCTGCAAAGATATATGAAATAAATGCCACAGTGCTTCCAAACTCCTCTTGCTTCTAGTTTCCTCAGTACCAGCCATTTAAGACTCCCTTCCTTCAAGAAGCCCACCAGGCTCTAGACCTCTCCCTTTGCTCACTGCCTCTGGGGATTGGAATGAATGCTCCCAGGGCAGTCCGCAAAGTGATCATTTCCAATATTATGCACATGACTCTTTTTTAGTGTGAGTGAATTAATACTACTACAAAGTGCAAAACAACAACCAGAAAGCTCAGGGGACAACTGCCCATAATAATCGTGATCTGCGAAAGAGCACCTGGGATGCCTGAAAACCCAGAACATTCTAAGTAGATTGTGCTGAGGGAGCCACTCATCTCTGGGGGAGGAGACCCCAGCTAGCTGAGGGATGCAGCCCCTGGCTTGCTGACTAACTGGGAACCACAGCAAAAAAAAAAATTGGGGGGGGGTTATACCCAGCGATGCACAGGGGTTACTCCTGGCTCTGCACTCAGGAATTACTCCTGGCGTTGCTTTAGGGGACCATATGGGATGCTGAAAATCGAACCAGGGTTGACCACGTGCAAGGCAAATGCCCTACCCACTGTACTGTTGCTCCAGCCCACAAGATTCTTAAAGGGTGGGAGAACAGTGTGGAGGGCTGGGGAGTGTGTGGAGCACCCCCTCCAAGCATGGTGAAGACATGAGTTGGGGCTGGGAGGGGGTCCAGTTGCCTGCCTTGCTCCACTGGTGGCTGGAGGAGTGGTTCCTGCCCCTGGCAGCCACGCCCTGTTCATAGGATTGAACACTGACTCCCCCAGGGGCCCGTAGATCCCAGCAGCCCTGAGAGCTGACCTGCATGCATCCTACAGCTGGTCTTCTCATTTTGGAAGACCAGGGAGCCTCCATCCCCCTCACTGCCCTTGAACACCAGTATAGCATTCTCCAAATGGGGGTGAGTCCTCCCAGCCCCAGCCACGAAGATCTGATGACTCCACGTGGGCCTTCGTGCCAACAGGAAGACTCAGGTTGCAGGAGCTGCTGGTCCAGGCAGTGTCTCGAAAAGTGAGTGAATTTGACTGAAGAGGCAGGAAAGTCATCAACTAGGAACATCCTCTCCTGGGTCCTTCGGTGGACCCAGGAAATGGCCCCCATCTTGGGAAGGGGATGGTACAGGGCGAAGCTCCATTTTCTCTCCCCCTCTGCCTAGGATAGCAGCATCCCCGCCCCCCTAGAAACAGCTGTTGAAGGAATAACTATGTTAACAGGCCTATTGACTGTGTTGTCTCCTTCCCTCATCAGGCTGATAAAGATGTCCAGCCCGTACATGAACAATCTGATCATCCTGGGAGGAATGCTCTCCTATGCTTCCATATTTCTCTTTGGCCTTGATGGATCCTTTGTCTCCGAAAAGACCTTTGAGACACTTTGCACTGTAAGTCATTCCACCTGCTCTCCTAGGGTATGGGAGATGGGGTTTTCTTGGTGACTTGACGGGCACTCGATAGCATGGTCAGTTCTTTGGAAGTCCAGCAGGGCGTGGGGTTGTGGCTTTCAGGCCACAGTGGTTGGAATATTGCTTGTAAATGAAGATTGTGGATTTAATAGGCCACTGGAAGAAAGAGACCACTGAGAAATACCTGGATAACCTATAATTGTTTTGGGGAATTTCTCTGCCCAAGCCTGGGAAAGAATCAGAATCTTGGGTTAATGTTGGGGCCGTTTAAGAAGGAACAAATTTTCCCGTTTACCTAAAATGCTTCTTGTTGTAGAGCCACAGCAGAGCCTGGCAAGCTCCCTGTGGCGTATTCACTATGCCAAAAACAGTGACAATAATGGGTCTCATTCCGCTGACTCTGAAAGAGCCTCCAATATGGCAGCATTGGGAAAAACGAGTAAGGAGAGGCAGCTGAAATCTCAGGGCTGAGACTAATGGAGACGTTACTGGGGCCCGCTCAAGTAAATCAATGAACAATGGGATGATAGTGACAGTGACCTAAAAGGCTTACAGAGTATGTTGACAGCTAGATAGATGGATACTTGGGTGGGTAGTTGGATGTACAGATAGATTGATGGGTGGGTGGTGAATAGACAGGTGGATGAGTGGGTGGATGGATAGATGGATGCAAATGTAGGATAAGGATTGGTGGATAGATGGATGGGCAGACAAAAAGGTAACAGGTGACTGAATGGATGGATGGATGGGTGCATGAAGGGATAAATGGATGGATGGATGGACAGATGGGTGTGTGAATAGGTGGGTGAATGGACGGATGACTGGATGGATGGATGGATGGATGGATGGGTGGATGGATGGATGACTTTGAATCATAAAATATCATCAGCATTATTTTCTACTTAGGCAGTTCTCTGCTTTTTCCCTTAAGAATATTCTTTAAAATCCTTTTCCCTAATTATTCTCTCATGCAATTTTAATGCCAAAGACATGATATACATCTACTTATGGACTTTATGTATGCCCATAGTTCATACATTTAAAGAAATTTTTTTTCACATTCAAGATCAATGAATTCCCCTCGGGGAATGATCTTGCCACATTAAGAATGTATATGCGTGTACAAAGGAAATCCCAGATAGTATAATGTATTCACAACATTTGGGAAATATTATCTTGAAATTAATTAGTATGGCTTACAATTCTAATGCCTGTTATTGTTATTAGTTTTAGGGAGTTTCCACATCAGCGATTAGCAATAGTGTGGAACTGACTTTCAGTTAAAAGTATTCTAGGCTTGGGGCCAGAGAAATAGTAATCAGGTAGGGCACTTGCCTAGCATGCAGCAAACCCAGGTTCAATCCCCAGAAACGCATATGGTCCCCAAGATGCACTGCCAGGAGTGGTTGCTGAGTGCAGAGCTGGGAGTAAGCTGGGAGCACCACCAGATGTGCCCCCCTCAAAAAAAAGGCTCGTAGGTTTGATTTTTCGGTAGGAGACCTCCCGAGGGGTGCTCAAGAGGTTTGGAAGCCCACAAGTGATTCAGAGCCTGTGCAGCAGTTCAATGCAGGGACCCGAGAATGCAGTGTTGCTCAGACCCAGCCACCCAGTGGTGCTGGGAATAACTCCAGGACCTCACCCAGTAGTGCTCAGGGGACCATGTGGTGCTGGCGATTGAACCATGGTCAGGAATGTGCTAGGCAAATACCCGGATGGCTGTCCTGCCTCCTGGTCTCTTAAGACAAGGATGACCATTCAGAATGTCCAGACCTGACTTCTGCGATATCTCAAAACAGTGTTAGTTGTTTTTATCCATGTAGTGGGGTTGGGGGGGGCGGGGAATATTAGAGGATAAAAAGGAATGGTCAAAGGATCTGCACCAGCCATGTTAATCCAAAAGCCACTATTTGGTGACTATTTGCATTGAAGGTATTCAAAGTCTCTGCACAGAGCAATATTTTCATTGTGTCTGTGGCGATCAAGTCTCAGCGTTTCCCTCTCCTGGACAGCAGTGGGTGGAAAGTTGGCACCAAGGGAGAAGCTACTGGAGGTTCCCCTAGCCTCATACCTCAGACCCCATTCACATCTTGGACTTCTGGGACTGTGTCAGGCCCCTGTGTTCTGAGACATTCGGCGGAAAGGAGGGTGCAGGCCCCCAGTCCTTCTGCGGTAAGGGGCACCAGCTCCATGCCTCACACTCCCTGATCCAGGCCTTTATTCCCAGTTCAGCACGTTTCCCCCCACTGCTTTGCTCCCCTTCCAGGGAAAAGGGGGTTGAACTGAAAAAACCATGAGCGGGCAGAATAATAGTACAGCGGGGAGAGTATTTTCCTTGCACATTGCTGACCCGGGTTCAATCCCTGGCATCCCATGTGGTCCTCCAAGCACTGCCAGGAGTAATTCCTGAATGCAGAGCCAGGAGTAACTCCTGAGCATCACTGGGTGTGACCCAAAAAGAAAAACAAAACAAAACAAAATTCCCCATGAACCTGGCCTCGGGGTGCCTGCAGTCAGTGTCCCCAAAAAAGAGTTTGAGTAAACGTCTTTGCGATGGGCCAGAGAGATAGGACAGCAGGTTAAAGCACTTGTCTTGCACGCCGCTCTCTGGGCTTGATCCCACTAAGGTTCAGAAATGCCAGAACTACCTATGGTCCCCAAAGCACAACCAGGAGTGAGCCCAGAGTCAGAAGGAAGCCCTGAGCACCACCGTGTGACCCCAAAAAAACACACCCAAAAAGTCTCTGTGAGTGTGGTTTAGTGGTCTGTCCCCAAGAACGTGCCCTCTGACCTGAGATGGTGCTGAGGCCAGTGGGCAGCTTGAGCTCTGGGGCAGGGCAGAAACCAGGAAGTTCCCCTTCAGCGGGAGGAAGATTGGCTTTGCAGGCCACCGTGTCAGTCTACAGTCAGTCTTCCTGGGCAGGGGGGAAGCTGAGTAAGGGGCTGCTCCTGGGTCCCCTGAAGAAGCACATCGAGAAAAGGGGAGCTTTTCTTCCTCCATCTGTGCTCAGGAACACCCGTGCCAAGTTTGATGAGACTACAGTGATGACGAGAGTGAGCCAGCTCCCAGGGCCTCACTTGGCCAATGATAACTTGGTCACAACACTCAGGTTCCTCCCTGACTTGCCCACCAGGGAGGGAACCTACCTTCGCCATCCCACTAAGGTTCAGAAACGCCAAGGGAACACTCCCCTGGTCTCCTGGGGCCCCTCTGCCCCTTGCCACCTGGGTACCCAGCCCCTGGCTGAGGGCAGAGCCGCATCGGTTCATCGTCCCAGCCGCTCCTGCCCAGAAGCTGCTCTGATATCCTTGCCTGGCTCAGGGACCCAGGGACTGTGAAAGCACGAGAGCTTGACCTGGATCCAGGGAGGCCAGGAGGAAGGAGGTGGGGCGGGGGTAGGCACGGGGCCAGGACTAGGGCCATCCCCACGCCAGGGTGGTTGTGTTGGATTCTTTCCTTTTTTTTTTTTTTAATGAAGTCTGGCATTCTATTCTGGGAGCTGTGCTCATTTGTGAGGGGAAGGTTGTCCTGGGAAGCCCAGCACGGTGGTATGAATAAATCATAAAGCGCTTTACAAACCAGCATGGGCCCAGAGCACGCACGAGGGCTCCGGAAGGAGGCAAGGGCCCCCTCTCAGTACCCCTGAGGATTTCTGTGTTGGCAGCCGGGCTGCTGGGGAGGTTTTATAAAGGGGAGCCCGCAGTCCTGGATTGGGGAGAGGTGGGGGTGTGCAGGGAGACAGAGACTAACTACTCAGCAGTCAACTGGGTCAGCACCAAGGTGAGCTGGGGTTAAGATTGGGTCATGGCATTCCCGGTGACCTGGGGAGGGGCACTGAAAACTTTGCAGTTAGATACCCTCGTCCCCCACCGACCGCATGCATGCCCTTTGGGTTATGTTAGTGCTAGTCCTAGAAGATTAGCACAAGGGCGCTAATCCTAGAAGACCACTCATTTATTCTCTTGGTGTTTGGGGGGGGTCTGTTCTCTTAGGACCCAGAAAGCATCCCGTACCCTGGACCCCCAGTCCCCTGTGCTGGAACAGGGCAGAGAGAGGAGAGAAGGGGGCAAGTCTGGCTGCTGCCTGAGTACCAGTGAATCCTGCACCACAGTCTGCCCACGTCCGTGCCCATCTGCATGGCAGAGCTCAGCAGGGCACCCCTCACGGGGCGGGTGGGGGTGGGCACAGGGCTCAGCATGGCCAAGTGTCAGCTGTCTCCCGCGCTCAGTGTCCTCACCTGTGTCCCACTCTGTGCCCTAGAGGAAATGTCACAGCACAAGGTACACACAGAGCCACAGAGCCAGCTCCCGTGTCTTTAGTCACCTTCGATCTCCTCTGCTTCTGTGTGAATGACACTTTTCGCCCTTTTTATTTTAGGCCTGGGCAGAGAGTAGCGGGCTGTTAAGCTTATTCTGATGGGGGAGCGGGTGGTACGTACATTGCACTCACACACACACACACACACACACACACGCACGCACGCACGCACGCACAGACTGACTGCTATAAAAGCGGATTTCTTACCTATCCACCTCTGCCCGCCCCCCCAGAATTCCAGAAGATTCTGGAATCTTCCCTGCCTAGTTCCGGCAAGTCTTGCATACAGCTCCGGCTACCCTGCACCCTCTCCCTGGACATCTGTGGGTGGTGGAGTCTCCATAGCAACGTGGCCCCTGTGAGGTCAGTGCAGGACAGGCCCGCGCTGTCTGCATCTAACCCAGGAATCCCAGCCCCGGAGAGAGGGGTGCCATTGGGTGCTTAGGCAGAACCCCTGTCAGGGAGCATTCTTGGGGGAGGGGGTGGTCTGCAGCATCTTTGTTCTCATGGACTCCAGCACTCTTTGCTCTCAAGGTCTCTCCTTAGACCCCCCCTTCCACATAGGCCAAGAGAGGAAGGTTCACCCTGTCTCCAAACCCCACACTTCTTAAACCAGTAAGCAGGACTGAGCTCTGGAGCTAACTCCCTGAACAGTAAAAACCTC